GAGTGCGTGGCTTAAAGATAAGCCTGTTCTGAAGGGGTTCGTTTGTTGCAGATCCTCCAGGGGGTCTAGGAAGATGTCCCAGAGTCATCATGAAGCCCAACACCTCTGAAGTTTGAGGGTCTGTTGTGGGGTTCCTTGAATTTCATGGTTGCCTAAGACCACTATGCAGTTTTTGGGTGGTTGGTCATGCGGGACCACCGGTGGATAAATCCATACCCTTTGGCAGGGAATACAAGGTAGCCGCGCTTAGGACTTACAGGTATCCTTGCAAAGTTTAGGAGTAGGGAATTAGGGTTTAAGGTTGTGGGTAGAGGGTTGAATGCCCCTAATTAAACAACCGCGGTCTGAGTCTTGAAGACCCGGTAGGATCCCCACTACGACGACGAAGGGGAGGTGGTTCATTCATCAGTGTTCTGTGCGAAGGAATATACCTGGAACAATCATAAACCCCTGCATCATTTGCGGAGTAGTCCGTGGGATAGAGATTCGAAGGCCTTCATGGTTTAAGGAGTAGTCCTCCACCCAGACCCCCAAAAGGATCTAAGAAATAGATCCCGTAACTAGCTACCCTAACTACTAAAGGGCACTTTAATAGGAACCCCCTTAAGGGATCTACTTTCTAGATCCTTTCGGGGGTCTGGGGTAGTCCTCCAGTACCGGGTTTTGGTGTTGGGCTCTTGGAAGGATCAACGCCTTGCTCACCGATGTGGCGCTCGAAAGGCATCTGCCGGAAGACTTTGCCAGATCAGAGCCCAATGCACTGGGCTCAGGCTTCAAAAGCGCTTTCAAGCTGTCGGGTGGTCGGTTTCGCACTTTAGGACCCCCTAAACCCTAAACCCTAGGCCTCGTTTCTTCGGTGCTGCAGGTTTAATATAGGGGCCTCAAGAGTTAGAACAGGGTTTTGGGCCCCAGTATACTATAATTACAACACGGAGCCCCCAAAATGGTAGGAAACTATTTAGGGTTTAGGGTTTAGGGTTTAGGGTTTAGGGCCCTAAACCCTAAACCCTCATAGTGGCCCTTATAGAACCCGTTAAGGAACCCACTTTTCAGGCCCCTAAACCCTAAACCCTCATAGTAGCCCTTATAGAACCCTTTAAGGAACCCACTACATTAGGCTTTAGGCCCTAGACGCCCGGAGGATCTAGAAAGTAGAACCCCTAGTTTGGGACCCTATACGGTTTAGGCGTGTAGGGTTTAGGGTT